GTCCTGCATCTATTTCATGTAAAAGGGTTGTCGGTCTCCTAAACATTCACAGCATCGTCGATGTCCTCAGAGTACTGAACTGAATCGACCTTGTCCACTTCATCAGTATTACGGCGCTGAAAGCATGACGAAGAATGCGAAACGTAGTCAGTGTCGAAAATTGAAGAGCGAGCGCTGACTATGATAGAGGGAGCGATGAAACGAGCGATGTTGTAGTGACTCTTTTTAGCCCTATAGCCCTATAAGCAATCAGAATTTTTACCAGATGAGCGGCATGCAGGATGTTGTTGTAGGTACGTGAAAAACTGAGCATTGATGAGAACGTGCCGCTTGCCTTACTCTGGACCGGTAGAGTCATGTATCAGTAACTAATATCGGCGGGAGTAAAAAAGTCACTTGAGAAGAGCTAAACATGTGGGCAACGTACGTACTTTGAGTCTTCTAAGAGATAATGTACGTACATTGAATAAGTGGTGAATACCAACTGGATGTAATACAGCTCTGGATCGAATGGCCTGGCACAGCTGTATCAGGCGAATGATGCGTCATAACAGTGTCACGATCATTAAATCCCCTGGCCGACTATTCGGGCAAATTTTAGTTATTTTGAAAATAAAAATGCGACTTTTCTTTTCCAGAGCTTTATTAATTCCGGTGACGTTGGCTAATATTTTTTAAGCTATTGATAGCTTTCGATTCCTTAACATTTAGGATACAGGTAGGCAACCAGCGGCCCACGACCAGTTTTAATTCGGCCCACGGAGGGCGTCGGAATATAGTGCCTAACTAAACGAACGAAGGTTTTGTATTCCGTCACGCCTCTACACTCATGAAAATAAATAAAATACACAAAAGGCTAACAGTTGAGACCCTGTGTCAGTAATATAAATCCAGATTTCAACAATCTTGTGTCAAAAGTTCATATCCAGAGCTCACATTACCCTGCTGTTTTTTATTTTTTTACTGAATGAACAACCCGTTAAAAACTTATCTTCTCTTTTTATGCGTTTTTGCACCTTATGCAAATACAAAGTACATAGATCCTAGAGAATGCCTGTATGTGTGTGTTCAGAAGCGAGTGAACTTGGTCACTCACTTTTAATTTAGCAACGAGGAGAGCCATGATGCAGCACTACCGTCCCAGCCGACGCTCTTTTCGCCCGTATGTAAGAGAAGACCAAAAAACATACACAAGGGTTGCACGTGTTTAAACTGTAAAGCAGTAAACATTCATAATATTAACGATCTGACTGCGTCAAATTTAGCGCAAGAACACATAATCGCACGGGCAAACCGGGTTTTATTAAAAGGTGACTCGCGAGCTAGTATGTCGCCAAGAGTTGCCCATGCCTCATTTAGGACATCTCATTCTAATAAGCCTTTTCTACAATATAATTCGTTTGTTTTGTAGATGTTCACTAATTTCGGATATAACTAGATTTGTGAATCATAATAATCTCTCTGTATGTATTGCATGAAAAAGCTTGACGCACACCGGCATTTCCCTTATTTGCTGTTTGCCAATTTTTTTTTTTAATTTTTGTGGTGTATTCTTACATTGACTGCTCACGTGAATGTATATATGACTGGCTTCATTTCAGAACTAGAGCATTGAAATTTTCCGGCTGTTAAAGCTTTTTTTTCAGGCGGTTACTGCAGACTCGGTGAGGGAAGTGGCATCGTGCGTTTTTCGTAATAAACCAATTGCGTTTACTGTCGTTGGTAAGTTCTGCTTCACAAATCGTTCCTGCTTTTTTTCTTCGCATATTATAAATTTGGTCCGGAAAGCATGGTTGCTTCTGTAATTATTTCTATGCTGAAGAAAGAACATCATGTGTTCTTACCTATCTTCACTTCTCACATTTTAATTACCACCATGTTTGATATTTTACAAATGGATTACTTGTTGAGAGGCCGTTCGTAAATGAATTCACATACCGGGTGAAAGATGACATTAGAATGTGCTTAACATTTGAAAACTTGAAAAATTCGCAGGAATGTTTAAAGCGTTTGTTTCCAGTTAGTATCCAACAAATCAGGCTTAATTATTGTCTGAAATTTTTATCGTCGTCAAAATCCTCTCCATGTTTTGTCCTCTGAGAGGGGTGGAGGCTCTCGGAAGCCGCTGCAGTAGCACATTACCGCCAGGAGCTCCTCACAGATGTAGCCTTTGATGGCTTCTCCTTTGGAGGTTTGCGTAATAGCGTTACAGTTCGGACTGTTTTGCATGTACTGTTTCCATTTCACCAGAGAAACAAATAAACGAATCGTTTTTACTAACAGAATTGAACCACCGAATTCTAGTTTCGGAGTGATGCTGCTTCCCACCAAGTTTGGTACCGCTTTTTATGCGTTTTTGTATATATGCAAATTTCAAAAACGCATATTGGGCTGTGTGTATGTC